AATCTCAATAAATCAAATATTCCTATGACATATAATTACCTCAATTATACGAGTTTAATAAAGAACATAATCACACATAATAAATTCAGTCTATAATATATCAGCTAATGTCCATCTGCTCTGGCATTCTTGGATTACAATCCACACTCTATAGTAATAAAACTTTGCCCTTATAACACCGTTACTCGTACCATTCTCAACCCATCACATACAAACAATTAATCACATTGCCTTTTATTATCCCTTTTCTTCATTAGAATTAAGGTGGCGAAGTCAACACTTGCTGTTTCACCCACATCTATGATCAAATTCCTAAATTTCAGACGTAGGGTTACATCCAATTTCTTTCCAATATATAAATTTAAAAATATTCAGAAAATATCATACACTTAAAACTTAATTACATTAACAATTATCAAACTTAATCATAACTATTAAAATCTAAAGAAAACGGCCAGAAAACACTTGCTGTTTCCAAGCCTTACATTGAAACACCCTAAGTTTGTATTTACCAATTTAATCATCATTGACTAATCATATCCTAAATCATCACATAATGATTTGACCATCACCCCTTTTTCTCCCTTAAAAAGACGGCTATACAGTAATATATTTTTTATTCTTCAAACTTTAAACCCATTTAGAGTGTGTTTGGTACGAAGGAAAAGATTTTTTGGAAAATATTTTCCAATTTTCTCATGTTTGGTTGGGACAAAAGTTTCAAAAATGTTTTCCAAATCAACTCATTTTCCTTAAAATTAAGGAAAATGACTTACCTTCAAAAATTAAGGAAAATATTTTCCATAACTCTCCTCCAATTTTAAGTTACATTTTTTTTTTGGGAAAAACATCAATTTAAATAAATATTTTCAATTTCAAAATTTTATTTTTTCACCTGATCCTTGACCCTCCCCCCACCGGCCAGCCCCCCAACCCCAACCCCTCCCTAAAAAATTAATTTTGTTTTTTAAAAATATTTTCAACTTCAAATTTTTATTTTTAAACTCCTACCCCTTCCCCCCTCTCCCCTCCCGGCTAGCCCCCAGCCACCCCAATCCCCAAAAAAAATAATTTTATTTTTTAACAATACTATCAACTTCAAATTTTTATTTTTTCACTCCTATCCCCTCCCCTCCCCCCCTCCCCCCACCCCACCCCCCACCACCCCTCCAAAAAATAATAATTTTGATTTTAAAAAATATTTTCATGTCATAAATTATTTTTTACTCTAGTAAAATTAAAAGATGTCTCTCCAAAACATTTTTCATTCATAAATCAAACACTAAAAATTATTTCCAGAAAATATTTTCTACTCACCAACCAAACATGAGAAAATAAGTCAAAAATCCACTTGTTTTCCAGGAGGAACATTTTCCATGGAAAACATTTTCCTCCATACCAAACACACCCTTAGTTGTTTATCATTTTTTAAATTTAATAATTAACTATACGAATAATAATACAATAATAATATGATATTTATCATTTTATATATACAACAATACAGAGGTTTGAGAGATTATCTGACGATGCACATGCAGGTTAGTTTCTTCCTTCATTTTATTTTATTTTTTCTAAATTAATTTGTATTAAAATTAATAATTTCTATTAACCTAATTTAATATTTTAGACTTGATCCATTATTCTTTAAAATAATTAAATTACCTACAAATTATTAACTATGTTTAAATGATCATTCAAAATTATCAAAAAAAAAAAACTCAATTTGTATATGTTGAAAAACTTTGTATATTATGACAAATATAAAAAAAAAAAAAACTTTTGGTTTTGGGCATTTAATAAACACATCGACTATAGAGAAACCACTTCCTACCACCTAACCACTTTTCATAACTTTCTTAGTTTTGGACAGAGTCATGTGATTGTCACAAGAAATGTTGCATGACTTGTTACTTCTGGCCTTTTTAGATCACATAAAAAAAATTTGGTAATTAATTTAATAAAGAAATTCACAAGAAAGGAGTAGGAAAAACAAAACAGTTGTAAATATGCAAACACAATTTTGTACAAATACTCAACAACATATTATTATTATTATTACTATTAACGAACTAGTCTACAAAATATGTATATGATATTTAAAACAGAAAAGGGTCAAAATTGTCCCTAAACTATGTGAAATAGATCACTTATATCCTTCCTTATATTTTGGGATTAAAAATACCTCTGTTGTTATATTAAGAGACCACATATATCCTCAAGAGTTAACATCCCATAATTTTATTGACTTTGCAAGCCACGTGAGACTAATTCTTCCACTTAAGCATTGCCAACTAGGATTCATTACAAAAGAACTTTAGCAGCGAAAATAGTCGCCAAAAGCCCAAAAAATCGTCACTAAAAGTTTTTAACATTAAATTCTAATTGTGTTTTTTTCTTAAAAACAAAAATGATATCGCTTAAGTAAGAGTTTGAAGACACTATATGTTTTTTATTTTTATATTAGATGTAAATGTTTAAAGTACAAAGATGCATTATATAGTAGGAGATGTGAATCAGAAGTAATTTTCATGATTTTTCGTAATAATATTAGGTGTTTTTAATAATAATATGGCAAGTTATTTATTTTAGAATTTCAGGTTGCAATCGAAAATTAATCATCATATTTTTTTGTTAAAAAAATAGGTTTTACTATTAGTCGTCATTAAAAGTCACTCATAACCTTTAGTGGCAATATTTTGAGATTGACAACTTTGTCGCCACTAAAGATCAAGTTCTTCTGTAGGGAATCTTAGTTGACAACGCTTAGGTGGAGGGACTAGTCTCATGAGGCATGCCACGTCACTAAAAAATTGGGGTGTTAACTTTTGAAGGTATTTGTGATCTCCTAGGATAACAACGGGGATATTTTTTTCGCAAAATGTAATGAAACTATAAGTGATCTATTTCGCATAATTTAAAAGCAATGTTAACCCTTTTCCGTATTTAAAAAACAGTTAGTTACACTAAACATGTTTGTCAAATATTCGCAAATTTGATTAAATAGAGAACAACATTTTCATAAACATGTATGTTTCGAAAATTATAAATAAGAAATTAACACAAATTAATTAAGAAGTTACACCAATTAGTACTAATCACTTTGAATAGGTACGTCATCTGCGTTTTTATTTTGTTTATTTATTTGTTTATTCTTTCGCTTCAAAATTATTTTATAATTACATAAAAAGTTATTTTATAATTTTAATTCATTTTACATAATTATATACTTTAGTTTCGACTATACTACATAGGAGTGTATATATATATATATATCATTTTTATATTGAAGGGAAGTAAGTGTCTATTTATATTAGTTGCTCGTATCATATAAATAATTGTTCCAAATTACTTTTTAAACTATAAAATTAAAATCAAATTAATTGATTTTTTTTCATTTGATCTTTATAATAGTTACTATTTATGAATGTAAAAATTTGTAAAGTTTTTTTAAAAATATAAATTTTAAAAAAAATCTTCTTATTTATAATTCGTTAAGAAACGGGAGAGAAGACAATTAATATACACAGTAAATATCTTATTCTTAAGTGCAAAACATTTACTGGCATGCACAAAGGTCCCATTTGTGGTTCTACAGAGAGGCAAAACATTTAAATCAAGACAAAATTAATTTTTAAAAAATCATTTTATCCTTAAAATTAAACTTTTTTTGAAAGTATAAACAGTAATGATCACATGCATAAATATTGTGAAATTAAAAAAAAGTTCATTTATGATAATTTTTTATGTACATATATTTAGTCAAAAGAGTTGCCTGAATAAGGCACATAAATAGAAAGAATATTTGTGTAGTTATTTAATAGAAAGAAAAAATATAATAAAATTCCTTCGATTTTATAAATTAAACATACAAACTAAAATAATTTATTTAATGTAGGAGCCAATTAATAGTATGAAATAAATAGAGTATATGAAACAACTCCCCTAAAATGGAAAAGACTAATTAGGGTGTGTTTGACATGTAAATATTTTCTATTTTCATGTTCAATTATATATAAATACTATTAAAATAGTGATCTTTATTTATATAAAATACAAAAATAAATAAATAACTCATTTATTATATTAAAAAATGTATTTCATAAAAATATTTTGTTTTGTAAAGAAAACAATATTGAAGTCATCAACTTCTCTTGATTAAGAACTAATAATGCAAAATTCAAAATCACCTAAATCCAAGGTCAACACTTTACATGGGATCCACTACCCCTTGAAAAAAATTAAATTAAATAATCATCAAAAGAGCTAGAAAGACTCATTCCATTAACAACCAACAAATCATAAAAACAAAAGTTTTGCTGGCAAAAATCTTTTTGGTCAATTTTTTAAAAAATTATTTTTTCACCAGTTCGATTAATTCAGATTTATGTAAGCCTTAGTTAAGGGAATGAGCTCCTTAATAGACTTTTTTCATATTCAAGATTTGAACTCGATATTTTTGATTAAAATAAAAAGATCTTATTTATCTCATCATAATCAGCGTCAATTAAATTTTCCTTTCTTCATATACAAAAACCATAAAGAACACAGATATAAAATAGCAAACAAAACAAAGAAAAGGAATTGTAGAAACACAAATGGCCACACCTATCTAAAATGTTACATTTGCCTTTTGAACATGTCCACCACTTAATTCTCCCTATATCTTTGGTTCCCTCCAGAAGAAAATAATCTTTTATAACAAAGTTTCTTCAAAAACAAAAATAAAGACATCATTTCAAACTATACTACAAAGTAACAAGTTGTTTCTTGAAACATGTCCCAACCTCTAAGAAGTTTGCTCAAAGTCATTGTTCTTGGTGATTGTGGGTAAGAACTTTCACTATCCTTTTTATCCTTTTTGCTATTTTCAAAGGATAAGCAGAATCAGAATATAAAGTTTATGAGTTCGAGATTTTAATTAAGTCATTAAATTGTTCTTATTCTTCTTCTAACACGTTAACATGTTTGTATTCTCAGGGTGGGAAAAACATCTTTGGTGAACCAGTATCCATCACATTGCATAGACTTTTTCATTACATTATATTCGGTGACGGAGTCAAGATTTATTAATTGGGTGATAATATATTTTATAATGTTTTAAGTGATTTTTATTTTATTTATTATTTTATTTGTACAAATGGGAAGAGGACATTTTCTCAAAAGTATTATATTCTAGGTAGAGATGACAAATTGTGATGGAGTAAGGTATTATTTAGTCAAGTTTCTTTTGCAATTTGTGGTTTCATTAACTATAATTATAGATATGTTTTCAAGAAGTTTAGGGAACAATATAAGGCAACAATTGGAGCTGATTTTGCTACTAAAGAACTAGAGATTGGTGAAAGAGTAGTCACATTGCAAGTAAGTGACTTTGTTCTATAAAATTGATTATGGTGGTCGATTAGGTTCATCATTTTTATATATACATAAAAAAAATTGACGTTGTATATATAGTATGACGACTTTCTAGCAAAGGAAATTCAGATGAACCCTTATGATCATCCGCCCGGGATTACAAAAAATCAAATATTGAATATTTTGATCCTAAGTTAATTTTTCTTTTTTTTTTTATAATTTGTTTTGGTAGATATGGGACACAGCAGGGCAAGAAAGGTTTCATAGTCTTGGTGTTGCATTTTATAGAGGAGCAGATTGTTGCATTCTTGTATATGATGTGAATGTGCCTAAGTCATTTGAGACTCTTCAACATTGGCATGAAGAATTTATCAAACAGGTGATCTCAATCAATTAATTTATCTATAGTATTTTCTCACGACTTTTTCCATTTCCGTGCTTTTTTTTTCTTTGAGTTGAGGGTCTATCTAGTGACGTAGCCACATATAGTACAGGATGATCAATTGGACACCCTTCATCAAAAAATTATACGATATATATTTGTCAAAAATTATTTTTCATATACTATATAATTTGAAACAGATTCTCCAAACTTCACTTTCTGAGAGTATACAAAGTATGTTATTGTTATTGTTATTGTTGTTATGTTGCATGTCAATTTGTTAATTTATATATTATGACCTTCTTTTCAAGTTGATATTTGGCATTTTTTTTTATTTACATGATTAATTCAAAATTGTAATTTTGTTAGTATGTGAGTGATTCCAGGCAGACCTAACAGAGCCTGAAAAATTCCCATTTGTCTTGATTGGTAACAAAGTAGACTTGGAATATGGCAGCACTGAGATAGTAAGTTTTTATGTTCATTCATTTTTGTTAAATAATTTCCTTCAATATCAATTTATTTTTTTTAAAAAAATAGCATATATAAAGTAAAATTAGGAATTAGGAAGATAAGGCAGGTTACATGCACTCATTAGAAAAAGTGGAATAATGCATTAGTATCCCTTCAACTTATGTTCGAAAATTCATAGACATATTTATACTATTCTATTAACCTCCTGAACTTATTTTATTAATAATTTTCTATCCCTTTTCGTCCTTCTTGACACTATCTTGTAGGCCCAACATTGATTGACTTTTTTTTCAAGCTAATGTCACGTAAGCCGAAAAGGGGTAGAAATTACTTATAAAATAAATTTAGGAGAGGTAATAGGACCTTAGTATAGTATAAGTGTGTATGAAATTTTGGGCATAGATTGAAAAAGTACTTGTGCATTTTTCCGAAAAAAGTAATTTAAACTTTAGTGCACAAAGCATTTTATCTTCACATTGGATCCACAGAGGGGTTGCATGCCCGCACGCCAATGAAATGTGATCTAGACAGTTCCCTATTTTGATGCAAGTATCAATTGTTTGTTGATTTCTTAGCTAGAATTTATAACATATACAAATCACATATATATATATATATATAAGCGATCTTATTGTTACTCGAAGGCTCTCCTTCATACTAGTACATTAATAGTAGAAAATTTATTTAAACTGTCATTTTTTAATTAAAGAAATCCAATTACAATTACAGGTTTCAGAGAAGCAAGCAAGGGAATGGTGTGGTTGTAGAGGAAATATACAAAACTTTATGACCTCAGCTAAGGAGGATTATAATGTTGATGCTGCATTTTTGTGTGCTGCACAACTTGCCCTGGCCAATGAAGATGATCACAACATGTAAGTATAATCTAGATAAATATTATTAAAGGTGAGGTTGAGAGTGTGTTGGAGGATGGAAAAGACACGACTTCAAATATCACTTGTGAAATTTCTTTTTCTCGACTTCCATAAAAAAAGATAATTTCCTCATTTATTTAAGGAACATGTTTTCCTTCAAAAAAAAATGCCCCCCCTCAAGTTTTGACCAACAGAACATGGAAAAATTAAATCGGAAAATGTTTCTTCCTCTGTACCAAACACACCTTGACTATCCATCATAATTTTGTCACAAATTCGTACATCACAAAAATTACGTACGAAAAAAATAGCATAACTCACAAATTTATGTATTCGCCATAAAACCATCACAAATCCATCATAATTTTGTGACAAACCTATCATAAATTGTTTTTTTTTACTACATTTGATGTTCAGTATTAACATTAAAGTTCAATTAATTTAAATTCGCACAGATAGAATCCATTGAGGGGCAACTTTCCTACCAAAAGAAATTTCATACTCAAAGCTCAAAATCGAGAGCACTAATATTTTTTGTTTTTTTCTTGTAATTTTGACATTTCTCATGTTCATTTACTCCAGCTGGCAGGCATCATTAGATGAAGAAATGCCTTCTCATTGGTGAGTAATTGATGTGTATATGACAATTTAAATTGATATTTTTTTTCTTTTTTTATCTCTTTCTCCCTTTTGATCCAAACTCACAACCTTCGAATTGAAAGTGAGGACTACTTATCTATCATACGATCAACTCACTCATCAACTGTTGTCTCTTTTTTCTCAGTCAACTCCAAAGAATACCAGAATCTGTATCAGGAATTGAGCAGCAAAGAGGAGGATGTTCATGTTAATTAATTTGTTTCTTCTAATTCTTTATTTATTGTTTTATTTGGTACTTCCGTAATTTTCACTATTCTTAGAAATTCCTTTATTCGATGAATAAACAAAGCCTACTTTGTTAAAATGAACTACAATTTCAGTGGATTTTAGGTTTTAAATTTAATGTTGAAATTGCATCAACAGTTATGTTTATTCAGTAATTTTATTTATCTACAAAGAAATATGGATACAGTTAGGGAAAAGGCAAATAGGCACATGATTATGGCAGTTCTTGAGGTAAAATAAAAAGAATAAAATAGATGCAATTGTGAGAAGAGATCACAAGGTGTGGAATTGAAACTCTTAACGTTATCTGAACTATGAAAATTCAAATGGTCAACCAATGAATCGACTAAAATTCCTCATTTAACATAGTATATATACTATTTACTCACAAGTAAGAAATCTGAACTTCTTCATGAAACAAATCAATATTACTCCTCATAGAACAATTGCTAAAAACTTGATATAAGATTGGTGCAGAAAAATGATGATATATAAAGGACAAAAACAAGAAGTGCTTTAACCTATAACATAGCTGATAAAAAACATTCTAAGAAAATTGGTACTTCTGCAAAGAAACTATGACAAAATTGGACCTATATATGATTGCATAAATAGTGATGATGGTTGCGATTAAGAAAATAATATGATGTAAGATACGCATTATCTTGATATATTCCTCCACGGAGGAGAAGTCTCCTAAGCAGGCCTTAAGGAAAGGAAAGGAGGGTAAAAGTTGTTGCGTGAACACGATTAACCCTTCCGCTTCTTATGTGATTTGGACCCGGAGTTGTTTTTGTGTCTTTTCTTGTCACTGTTTTCACTCTCTAGCTTGGAATGCTTCTTCTCCAATTTGCTTTTGTTGGATTTTACACTAACTACACCACCAGAACTTATCTTCCCACCGCCATTCTGGAGAGCACTTTCAAAATCAGCCTCTCTGTCTACGATAGCGAATTGCTGAAATAGCTCTGGGTCCAACAAACCTTCCGTTGTCTTGGCTTTCATGTCATCCTAGATATGATCTTAGGTAAGTATATATTTTTCCAAATGGGAGAACTTGCAGAGACCAAAGCAAGTAAATTCAAACCTGAACTTTTTTTGCAGCATCATTGAGATCTTCATCAACAGATATCAGATGTGGTTCCAATGTAATCTGAAAACAACAAGGAAAAAAGTGCCTCCATTAATCTTCAGCGGTGATAGATGAACAGCAGACAAGCAGTTACAGTGCCTCAAATGCTGCTATTTGATGAAACAAAATTGGTCACTTCTTGAGACAAACTGACATGAGAAGTGTCAGACTCTCTTTCTGTTGCCTAGTCACGCATAGTATGACGATGCATGCAGATATTTATCACATTTTTAGTTTCTCTTTGTCATAGCATCATAGGACGTTTGGGGGAGTGAAATAAATAACTTATCTACTTACCGCTTTAAGCCGAGATGCAGTTGATGAAAATTCTTTTGATTTTAGATTATGCAGGTATTTGAAAAGCCTCTTCATGGTTTTCATGAAAAAGGACAATACTTGTTGCCTTTCCAAATTCATTTCTACCTGTAAAATAAAATTGAAAAGAGTAAACTCGAAGCAATGGAGTTCATTGGATGAAATATCTTATTAAGTTTGGATGTGATGGAGGACAATTAGCAGCATCAACAAAACCTGACACTACAGAATAACCTATTCAAAATAAAGACTAGCAATGCAGCAAACCTCTATTTCAGAGATGTCTTTGTGTTGCAGGCCATAGCAAAGCAATATGGAAGCCTGGACATATGAAAGTGAAACTGGCAAATGCTCCAAAAAGTACTCACGCGCAAGTTTTTGAGCAACATCTCGAATCTGTGTGAAAATTTCATGCAAATAATCAATTTGAATAATAAACAAATGTCAGGCACTTCTGAGATTTTCTAACAATGCTTGCACTAGGAAATAATGGAACAGTGTCTACACACAAAATAACAGTCACTTTTGAAGGGTTTGTTGTTGAGCAGCACATCCTTTTTATCCCTCAGTTCTTTCCCTTTTCCTATTAGCCATCTTTATAATTCTAGGAACCGGAGAACAAACCACTTAACGAAAAATAATTAGATATCAAATGATAGATTATAGGATTTTCTTCCAATTTATCAAATAGAACTTCAACCTTTATAACTGAACACCTAAACACAAACAGACAAGAAAAGGAAAATCATGCCTTTGTTATTTATAAAGAAATATATCTGACATATTTCACTTGTCATTTTTGGTTTAGAACTTTCTTGTTGAACACCTACACAAACAGAAAAAGAAGAGGAAAATCATGCCCTTGTTAATTATAAAGAAATGTAACTGACATATTTCACTTGTCATTTTTTGTTCAGAATTTTCTTGTTTGTCAAAAGTACCAGTATGAGTATTTCATTCACTTGAACCATGTTGTTCTTGTCAAAAGTAATCGCACCAATATGAGTTTTTAATCCACATAGGGACCAGACATCAACATCTTTTAAGAGCAGATGGTAGCAGGAGTTCACCAAATCATTCACCAGATTTGCGTAAAAGTGAACTCCAGTTGGTTATGATGCTTGAAATTCGAAAATGCCAACTTCAAGCTCTTTTCAGTGATTCAAGTTTTTCAGGCATGTAGACCACAATGTTTGTCTAAAGTACAATCTCTATATGATTGTTGATATTGAAACATACATCTAGCATAACTAGATAGTAGCACCAACAAAAATCTTCTATCGCTTCTCCAGATAACATATTTTCATTCCCATCACCAATTGAGATCTAACCAGTAAGTCCATAAGGTTATTTGAGTAGGCTCAAAGCACTCTTAGCCTTTTTCTTAATAGACAGTTCATACAGCACGTTTGTCCACTTACCCATTTCGACAAGTAAAAACTGTAACACAAAGGATCTTGCTTCACTATTTAGTATTAACATATTTCCTCATAAATCATTAACTCAGAACTTACCAAGGGGTAGTCAATAAGGCTATTTGAGTAAGCTTCAAGCATCTTCATCTCATCAGGGTTCAGAACAAACTTCATGGAGTTTGACAATTCACTTGAAGCAGGGTCCTGCTCCACAAAGTTGATCTTTGGATCAAAGACACTGCACGATTATGGCCATCATAAGCATATATAAAGAGGCACACATATAAACTAACCATCAAAATTACATTCTTACCTCATAGCAAGCTTGTAATTCATCTTCTGGTAGGTAGAACCCAACAGTTCGACTAACCTTCTCTTGTATACTGACAATGTTATAAACAACATCAATATCAAAATAGGTATTGACAACAACTCTAAAATTATAGAAAAAAGTAATAGAATAAACACATGTTACTACAATAACTGCAACTTGTTTGATAGGATGTGGATACAAAAGGGGGAAGACAAAAGTGTGACGGCAATGCATGAATGTAATATGAAGTCACTACTCTATAACAATGCATGAATGCTGACAAACATATATTAGGAATTGTAACATTTGAGTTCCTCTTTATCATGACAAAAGATCTTCTTCCAATCTCCTTCCAGTTCCTTCCAATGATAAGCTAAAAAAAATCAAGGAGGACAAAAACAACTTATCACCTTGGTAAAGGGGACCATAAAAGCCCCACTCATCTGATTCAGCAGCTTTAACATCATCATTCTTCAATGCCTTCAAGACCATGCATGTGTACTCGCCGGTTACACTATTCTGATTCATCCAATCACATGTTCATCACTAATCCTCAACTGCAAACATCTAAAAATAACTGAAGGAACAGAGGACTCTTAGACTTACTGGGGCATTGCCTATGAAAAATGGAGCAAACTTATGTTTTCTCCAAAAGCGGAAGAGATCCAATGTAAGTCCAAATGAGACACCAAGGTAATGGAGCCTTTCAGGCCGTCTTTCACCTAAAGGAACAAGCAATGGAGGAAGATCTGTTCTTGGTCTTATATTTTCTTCAAGCAAAGATACCTGCAAGGAAGGTGGTTTAAAATCAGTAACAAAAAGCAAGCAAATGATCTAATCCCACATAGAAGTATTTCTAGACTTTGCAACCATCCCATTTGCCATATTACAGCAAATGATTAATCACAAGAGCTAACACAATGAACGCACTAGACAGTGGTCTGGAGACAAACCACATCAATATGAAGAAAGACACAGATTCAATGAGAAACAATATTATGATTTAACACTGTCTTAAAAGGGTACAATGGTATAAACTTTTTGCAACTTTAGGACACCCAAGGGATAAAAGGGAAGCCAATAACCTAAAGTACTAACTGCAAAGTTAGATCAAATAAGATTACCTCCTGAGCAGCTTCAGTTACATTGACTTGAGGAGTCTCCAATGTATCTTCTGTCTCTACTTCGGATAATTGCGTAAACTGACCCTCAAAGTACCTATTAAACACATTCAGTAGAAAAATGCATAATATGTACTGAACTGAAAACACATTAATCTAGAAATGAAAACCTAAAAGCCATGAAACACAATAAATATGCACGCTCTGCAGACTTGCAAGTGTAAAAAGGAAGAAGTCAACAAGTGTAGAACCGTTCCATATCATCATCAACAATCAAGAACAAAAAAACCATTCTTTTATACCTACTTTTCATAATATACTACACTAAGATTATAGTGAGCAGTCATTTCACATCATTTTAGGCAGGTAAAGGTGTGTTGTTCAGAGGCCATCACGGTCATATTCAGGATTCACAGTAGTGTAAATTTTAATAATATCTTTGTTGTTCCAAACAACAAGGGTCCTTGACCTTTGACATACAAATAGACAACAATGATTTGAATGCTTACAGGCTAGGCATAATCCGTAAACCAGCTGAATTATTAATTCACACCAGACGAAAAACAATTACAAGCAATTGACAGAATACACTTCCTTTTTCCTTGATTTGAGAATGGTGACAGGTTCATATATATATATATATATATATATATATAAGAAAAGGTAAACTACACAAGCTGTGTAGTCTTCCAAAAATAAAGTAAAGTTCCTAGCTGTCCGCTTCTTACAGAAAAGAAAGACTAGAAAAAACTTGCCTCAGGACTCTTGCTTACTATAAACATGCTTTTTCACAATTCACTTTTTTTCCCTGGAGTTTATCTTATGTTGTCATGGG